TGGATGAATTTAAGAGGACATGAACAAAATCACCCAACCAGAAAAGTGTTAGAACAATGTTGGGAAAGGGAGAGAGCAATGAATTTAAGTTTTGGATGGACAGGAGATGAAACAGCAAGAGACCTGGGGGTGTATGAAATGGAGTTCTGCCCGACAGTATTGTGGCCTACAACTCCTGTGTGGATGTTAGAGGGACTGACGGTGGATTTAGAGCTGCTTCAGGTTAAAGCAAGAAATAAAAATGTAGATTGTGTACATGAATTTTATAGATATACAGAAAGTAGTTATATGGGTTATGTTCAAGTATTTACAGATGGTTCCAAAAATCCATCAACAGGCAGCACTGGGGCTGCTGTTGCAGTTCCTAGTAGAAGAGTGGAAGTTGGTAAAAGAATGTCAAATGATTTAAGTGTGTATACAGTTGAACTGTTTGCTATTGTGATGGTGCTAGAGTGGATAGAGCAAGCCAGACCAAACCATGTGCTTATATGTAGTGACTCAGCATCTGCTTTGTGGAGTTTAAAGCGAGGTACTTCCACAAATCGACAAGATATATTGTATGAAATTTTGAAAATGCATTCAAGAATAATAGGACAAGGTATAGTAGTTAAATTTATTTGGGTTCCAGCACATATGGGCATTGTGGGTAATGAGAAAGTTGATCTTATAGCCAAGCAAGCAGTTAAAAAAGAAAATATAGATATCATTATCAAGTTATCAAAACTGGAAGGAAAGAACATTGTACGGAAGAAAACAAGTGAAAAATGGCAGCAGCACTGGGAACAGGAGGTGAGAGGGAGACACCTATATGCACTACAGAAGAGAGTGGGCGCTGGGAGACGCAGGGGAGGAAACAGGAGAGAGGAGACAGTGATGACAAGACTGAGAATTGGACATAGTAATCTGAATGGGACACTTCACATTGTCGGGAAACATGTAAATGGATTATGTGACTGTTGCCAGATATCAGAAACAGTGGAACATGTGATTACCAACTGCAACAAATACAGAGAGGAATGGAAGGAAATGCTGGAGGAGATGAGGTGAGAAGGACTCACAGGATCAAGCTTAAAGGACGTACTGGCGTGTGGTGAGACTGGGAAAGGCAGAAAGTGTTTGATGTGTTTTTTAAAAAGAACTGGACTGATATGGAAGATATGAGACACTGGATAATATAGGAGTCAAATAACTCCAGAAGAGGGCGGTAATGCAACGTTAAGGATGCAAGCTGCCGTTAAACCCCAGAGAAGAAGAAGAAGAACCACACATTGGACGCGACACTCACGTTAGGGTGGTAAAACAATAAAAGTGGCTAAGACTCTGAGAAAGCTCGGAAAAAGAACCATCGGCGAAATCTCCCGGGATGACCTGGACCTGTGTGAGCGCAGTTGGAGGAACCGCTCGGGAAGAGAAACGCATTGGTGAGTGACCGTTCTCAAGTGCTAAATGCTACATCGCTAATGTTAATGCCACGAGCTAACCGTTAGCATAGGAGCTAACGTCGGAGCACTAGCTTCCGGTGCCAATAGGCGTGAGGGCAGACACACCATACATCAGTGCTGAAGCACCGATCCAACATTTTAAAGGTCTTTATGAGAAGTTAATTTGCACTTTTGTTTCACTTGTTGCACTGACTTGTAATGTGTTATGTGTATGTTTAGCACTTTATCTGTGCATTTTAAGCACATATAGCCATATTTTACCAACTGTGCACATTACATATTTTTTGCTTCTTGATGATTTGTTGTTTTATGTGCTAATTACTATGTCAATAGTACAAAATGTTTTGAAACTGGTCATTTTAAGAAATTATTTTAATAACATAATCTGATATTTTGAGTTACTTAGCCTATTATTGAACATTGTAATATTATATTGCAACAGTGATTCGGTTAAAGCGATTATTCTCTATTGATATGGAGTTCATGTGAATTTAACCTGATATACAGTACAGGCCAAAAGTTTGGACACACCTTCTCATTCAATGCGTTTTCTTTATTTTCATGACTATTTACATTGTAGATTCTCACTGAAGGCATCAAAACTATGAATGAACACATGTGGAGTTATGTACTTAACAAAAAAAGGTGAAATAACTGAAAACATGTTTTATATTCTAGTTTCTTCAAAATAGCCACCCTTTGCTCTGATTACTGCTTTGCACACTCTTGGCATTCTCTCCATGAGCTTCAAGAGGTAGTCACCTGAAATGGTTT